TATATTATCTTATATTAAATATTATATTATATATATATTGTGTATTATTGCTGTATAATTAATTAAATTATATATATATTTTAATTTGGTTTTTGATTTAATTACATAACTTTAATAGACATTATTTAACTGAACAAAATATTTCATCACGACGCTATACAACTGACGTCATTCAACGTTCTTTCGTTCCTCTCGTTCACTCGCTTTTTTACATTCGTTGTCACACATATCTTACGGCAATTAACACCATGGCTTTAGAAGATCAGACGCATAGACTGATTTATAATGTCGTTGCCTATGGATGCTGGTTCTCGTTCTGCTAGAACTAAATCACCTTGCTCATATTTTGTTGGTTTCCTGTGCTTATCGTCGAAACGCTTTTTCGCGTATACCCGTTTACTATCGGTGTTATTAGCAGCAAGTAAAATTCGTCGGTGGAGTTCTTCTTGGGTGATGGGAATAGTATCGTCTTCATCTTGGAGAATTTGGATCAGCTTGTTACCTAATATGTCGCGTGGCTTGAATCCAAAAAGCAATTCGTTTGGAGATTTTCCCGTCGTTTGACTAATCAGTGAGTTCAATGTCCATTGAATGCTTCGTAGTTGCTCGTCCCAGGTTCGGTCATCTTGTGTTAATGGTTGCAGGATGGATAAAACGGTGTGATTAAATCGTTCGACTTGTCCATTGGCTCGTGGCGTACGGACTGCGTTGCGTATGTGTTTGATTTATTGATCGTTACAGTATCTTTCAAATTCTTTTGACGTAAAGGCGGTACCACGATCACTTATTATATTTTCAGGGGTTCCAACGTAACTGGTAACTTCATTCAGAATGGCGATGACTTGTTTAGTGTTCGTACTTTTCACTGGTCTGACAATGACAAATTTTGTGAAACTGTCCACAATAACCAGGATATACTCGTTTAACTTTCGGCTTCGGGGAAAGGGTCCCAGGTGGTCAATGTGTATTGTTTTGAATGGAATAAGCTCCATTTTTTCGCAATGTAACTCACCTTCCTTTTTACCTCCTCGACGCTTAGTGAACGTGCAATCAATGCACGCTTTCACAAAAGATTTGACAAAGTTTCGCATTCGAGCGAACCACATAGACCGTAGTAAGTATTCAATCGTTCGGTCAACGCTTAAGTGTCCTGTTTTAACATGCGCATCATGTGTCACCTTCCATCGCAAAGCCTTTGGTATTACGAAGAGCTGTTGGTTTTTACACCGTTTGTACAGTCGTCCGTTAATTATTTTATAGTCGTTAATAATGTCTGAATCTTTCTCCTCAATTTTGATTACGACTTGTTGAAGTTTGCTATCTTGTAGTTGCATACTGTAAAGGCAATCTGCCTCGGTTATTTCCGCCTTCCAGACTCGCAAGGTCGCTTCCTCAAGGTCGCAACCGTCTTCGTTAGGCATACGATTTAGTGCGTCGACGTGCGCCATTCGTTGCTCGCTTCGATGTTCGATGATGAGGTCATAGTCTTGGATACGAAGCCACCATCTGGCTATACGAGGTATCATTTCTCGCTTTTGCATGGCCAATTTTACAGCATTGCAATCGGTAATGACCGTAAACGACTTTCCATAGATGTGATATTTAAAGCGGTCCACGGATTCGACAACTGCAAGCGATTCTAATTCGTAACTGTGATATTTCCTTTCCAGCGGTGTGGTAGATCGACTAAAGTACGCCACCGGCTGCCAATCTCCGTTGTCATTTTGGAGTAAAACACCTGCGAGTCCGATGGCACTCGCGTCTGTATGCACTTGATGGTTAGCTTTCACTGGGTAGCCCGTTAATACTGGTACGGTTGTTAGTGCTTCATTTAGACTCACAAAGGCGTTTGTTTGTTGATCTGTCCATTTAAAGACGGCGTTTTTCTTAAGTAATTGTCGCAACGGTTCGGATATAATTGCGTAGCCTGGTATAAACTTACGGAAATATCCCGTTAACCCTAAATAGCGCCGCACCTCTGTTTGCGTTGTAGGCATGTTGAAATTTCGGATGGCTTCGGTCTTGATTTCACCCGGCGTTATCCCGTTGGGACCCAACTGATGTCCCAAGAATTGGATAGTATCTTTCAGAAATTCGCATTTTTTTAAATTCAATGTTAAATTAAATTCTTTTATTACACCTAAAATTCGTTGAAACTTTCTGAGAAGTTCTTCTTCATCGTTGCCACCGACAAGCATATCGTCCATGTAGTGTATCATATCGCTGGGTTCCAAGCGCGTCTTAATTTTCGCCATCAATTGTAGAAACAGGACTGGTGCGTTCTTCAGCCCGAACGGCATTCGTTTAGACTCATACAGACCATCAGGAACCACAACTGCAGTATATTTACGACTGTTACGTTCTATAGGAATTTGATAATAACCACAGTTAAGATCTAACGATATGTAGATTCGAAACTTCGTTGCTTCTTGTAAACTTTCTTCGATATTGGGCATTGGGTAGCATTCTTTTCGAGTGAATTGATTAATCTGACGGTAGTCCACGCAAAGTCGATATTCGCCATTCTTTTTCTTCACAAGCAACATTGGACTCGATAACTTGATTCAGACAGAGCTATAATATCATTGTCGAGCAACTCTTGAATTTTCTTCGCAACGATTTCTTTTTTCGGTTCCGGAACTCTATACGGGACTTGTGCGATCACCTCGTTGGTCATTAACTCAATTTTTATTTCGACTACACTAGTTTTGCCGATTCCATCCATACCTGTAGCGAAACATTCTCGGAATTCATTCATCACCGCTAACAGCTTTCCCTTAGAATCTGAATTTGCAGTATCCATACACACGTCATCTTCCGTTATTGGACTAAGTTTATTAATTTTACGCGTCGTTTTTACTTTGTCTTCGAATTTGAACTGTCCGTTGTCATATACGGCGCGTATATTTTCGCAATTAAACATTTCGTCCCCGAGCAATAGATCGTAATTCAATACACAATCTTTGAAGACGTGCAACATCAACGGTTTTTCAACCTCATCGATTTTCAAATCCGTCTCGATTTGTAACTCGGATCGTTCGATACCACCACCGAATCCACCGATTGTAAATAGGTTTTTGCTGCGCGTACCACCAATATCATTGGCAAATGTTTCCCGGACCATATTACATTCGCTTCCAGTATCAATAAATGCAATGGCTTGCTTGCCACCAATCGTTATTTTCTTAAGAAATTTATTGTCGATAATACTTGTTTTTCGCACAAAAGCTGATGGTTTTCCGCAATTTTGCTGTTCATTTTTTGGGGTGCACCTTATTACAATCTATACAACGGGGACGTTTTGGGGGTCTTGCACAATTTACTGACAAGTGCCCTGACTCACCACAATTGTAACACATAACATTCTTTGCCTTACTGAACGATTGTATTCTTTGTTCGCTTTCATCCGCATTATGAAAAGGCTTTTCGTTTATCTTTATACAATTTTGTAAGAAGTTCTCGCATGCTTCACGCATTTCTTTAACGGATACGAATTTTTGCGGAGCAATCGCCATTTGTAGTTTTCGATGTTTTAATCCTTCTCTGGCGTATTTCGTGATAGATTATCACATCGTCCTAGCGCAGAGACACGAAAAATGAACTCAGTTATTGTTTCGTTTTGCCTTCGAGCAACGCGCGACATATTGTAATGTATATCCGCTTCATAGTATTCGCAACCGAACTCGGTAACAAGCTCATTTGAGAACTCCTTCCAGGTGGCATGCATTCTTGGTGATGCGTCCACCCACATGCGCGCTACACCCTTCAAACGGCTATACACTGCAAGAAGCACACTTTTTTCGGGCCAAGCATATACAGACATAACAGCTTCAACACGTTCGACAAATTGCGTAGCCGTAATGAAATCTTCATTCGTTGGGTCGAATTCGGTCAAGACTTCTGCGATTTCTTGTATAAAATGCGCGTTACGGTCCTTACTAGGCATTTCTGAAGTACTGTTTTGATTGTTTCTAACGTTATTCTGGTTAATGACTACTTGTTGAACCATTTGCCGCAGTTCGCTAATTTGTTTTCTCATTTCTTCGTTTTCACCTCGCAATTCCTTCAACTGCTCCTTCGTAAGTGATTCAATTGTCACCATCGTTACGTATATATCTGCGTTCGTTTCTATTTTGCTGCGCCAAATATTCAAACTTATGTTTTAATTACTCCCCTTTGAGGGCATTTATACTATCCCACTTCTGAACTTTTAATTTGGTTTTTGATTTAATTACATAACTTTAATTGACTTTATTTAACTGAACAAAATATTTCATCACGACGCTATACAATTGCCGCCATTCAACGTTCTTTCGTTCCTCTCCTTCACTCGCTTTTTTTACATTCGTTGTCACAAATATCTTAGGTGACCACATGTTGTTCAAATTTTAAGGTGCCCAGTTGTGCGTTTCTGTTGTAGGTTAACATACATATATGAATTATATTATATGAATTGTGTTTTATTATATACATGTTCATTTTGCACAATCTCTTTTGCTAGTTTTTTTTGTACTGAACCCTGGTATACCCTGAGTATACCCCGGCCTTGTAAAAGGCCGGAAAGGTCGTTACAAACTATAGATCTTGAGTTGTTATTACCGCGTTGGATTGCTTTTGCAGTTGATATAACGTCATCAATGGTTCCTACTGTGAATCTTTTTGGCCTGAAACTATATTATTCACTGCTGAGTCCACCAGATGTTTCTACTGATTAGTTTAATCTACGCTTGATTATTTTATCATAGAGCTTTCCTGCAGTATCTAGTAACTACAATGGTCTACGTGCTGCTGGATCAAATTTTGGTCCAATCTTGGTGTAAAGACACAAATTTTACTATAAATTTAATTCCACAAATCAAATCTGAAGTAAATACCACCGACACGATTGACAGTTTATATTTAACTAAATTTTGTTTACATTTCATTACTTAAGACTGCTTAAACTAATGCAAAACATACTAGATTATAACGCTTTCTCCGCCCTTAATTTTTGACAAGGTTTAAGCTTTCCTGAAATCGTCGGATTCAAACCGATTTACATCCTTCCGAATACGACCACTTTTTCGAAGTTGAACTACTTCGGTAGAACGTTCTTCACTAGGCATTAATGTTGATTGGCTAGATGAAGGCGGTGTGGCATTGCTGAAATTTGGAGCGAATTCAAAAATTGGTTGAGAAGAGAGGTCAGAGCTACTTCTAGTATTAAGCTGATTAACGTGACGTTTGATGTAACCAAAAGATGTGTTTACTCGGTAAACCATTTTACCAAGTTGTTTCACAATAACTACTTTTATCCATTTTTCCCCTTTTGCGTAGTTTCGAGCGAAGACGGGTTGCTTTAGACTGAATTTCATTTTCCGTTTCGAAGCTTCAAGGTGCTTCCTAGGCGATTCAAACAGTTGACTCAACAGGGTACGAACAGGCCTTCCATGTAAAAGTTCTGCAGGTGATTTGCCCTCAGAATTCGGCATTGCACGATAGGTTGCAAGGTATTTTGATACAGCGAATTTGAGAGACAATCCATCGTCAATGTTTTTCTTAACAGCAGTTTTAAAAGATCTGACGAATCGTTCGGCTAACCCGTTTGAGGCTGGATGAAACGGCGCTGTTGTTATATCTTTGATGCCAAATTTTGAGCAAAAATGTTTGAATGCTTCAGCTGTAAATTGCGGACCATTGTTACTAACGATGGTTTCTGGTATACCTTCCAGAGAAAATATAGAAGACAATTTTGATATGGTGTCAACCGTTGTTGTTGTAGATAGTTGTACGACGAACGGAAATTGCGAGAAAGCGTCGACACAAATTAGCCACATTGAATTACAGAATGGACCACCAAAGTCGATATGTACTCTCTCCCAAGGTCGATCAGCTTCAGGCCAGCTTACGTATTCACGTGCGTAAACAGGATTTGCAATTTTGCACATATCACAATTTTCAGTTAATTGTGCGATGTCTTTGTCAATATTAATCCACCAGACATGTTGTCCAGCTAGCTGTTTCATTCTCGATACTCCCCAATGTCCATCATGAAGAAGTTTAAGAACTTTCTGCTTAAGGGAGGCTGGAATGACAACCCGGTTGTACTCCGTCTGGAAGCAAAGCAAATTGTTGTTTAGTATTAAAGCAAAGCGATGATTGAAAAATGATTGAAGATCAGCATCTTGAGGCATTAGCTTTTCAGGCCAACCGTTTGTAACGAGAAAATAAACTCGGCGAAGAATTGGGTCATTTTTGGCATGTTGATGTTGAAACAGGATTCTTCATGATCAAAAGTTTTATCTTCACCAACAGGTAAACGAGATAAAGCATTGGAATTTCCATGCTCAGTAGTTTTACGATAACGAACATCATACTGATAAGCCATTAGTATAATAGTCCATCGCTGTAAACGATGTGACGTCATCGACGGCAACTGATAAGTTGGATTAAAAATGCTAACAAGAGGTTTGTGGTCAGTAACCAAGGTGAATTTTCTTCCGTATAAATATTGATGGAAACGCTTGACTCCAAAAACCATAGCTAGCCCTTCCTTCTCTTTCTGACTATATCGTCGCTGATGAATGTCGAGAGTTTTAGATGCAAAAGCATTAGGCCTTTCTGTACCGTCAACGTACCTATGCGAGAGCACGACCCCTATGCCATAGGAGCAGACATCTGTAGCTAGAATCAACGGTAAGTGTTCCTGATAATGTGCTAATTGCGCTGCATTGAGAATATGCGTTTTAAGAGCTATAAATGCTTGTTGTTGTGCTGTACCCCATTTGAATTTTATATTTTTTCGGCGCAGCATGTTGATTGGCGCGGATAATTGCGAAAAATTAGGTATAAAATTATGGTAGTAGTTTACCTTACCCATGAATGCTTCTGCTTGCTTTAGATCTTTAGGCGGCTGCAGGTTTTTGACTGCTTTTAGTCCTGACTCATCTGGCAATATACCTTTTGCACTAATTTGACGCCCGAGATATTCGATTTTATCTCGCAGAAAGAAACATTTTTCTTGCTTGCACCTGATACCATTTTGTTGCAAAATACGAAGTACTTGTTCTAGGCGGCTGATGTGTTGTTGAAATGTAGGTGCGGAGATGATAATGTCATCGAGATAATTTCCGCAACCTTCTACGCCTTGAAGTAACTGCTCAAGATATCTTTGGAATATAGCTGGAGTGCTTGCAATTCCAAACGGTAAACGTTGGTATTGGAATAACCCAAGTGGAGTGTTGACAACCATTATTGTTTTTGCTTCATCGTCGAGTTCCATTTGTAAATACGCATCCTTAAGGTCGATTTTTGTAAAATGTTGACCGCAATGAATTTTATGGAAAAGACTTTCGCGTATGGGCAAAGGATATTGTTCAATGTCAATTTGCGCATTGACTGCTTGTTTAAAATCCCCACAAATTCTTATGGAACCATCAGCTTTTGGCGCTAGTACAATAGGCGAAGCCCATTGGGAAAACTTCACAGGTTTCCAAATACCCGCATTTGTCAATCGATCGACTTCTTTCTTGAAAAGTGACATTTGCGAAAATGGAATTTGTCGGCTTTTGTAAAATTTCGGATGTGCATTTGGCTTTAAAAAAATACTGACCTTAAAGTTTTTTATTGTGCCAAGAGCTGGTTCAAAAATATCACCATATTTCTTACACAGCTCGCTAATTCTGTGTGATTCACTTTCAGTAATGTTACAAATTTGCTGAATCTCAAACCCGAATTCTTTAAATAAATCGAAACCGAATAAATTGTTACAGTTTTCGACATCCACGACAACGATTACCACTTCCCTTTCTTTTCCGCCACATTTGATATCTACGCAAAGTTCACCAAGCACTGGAATTTCATTTTTGCCAAAACCAAATAAGGTTTTTGTACAATTTCGCAACTTTGGGCAATTTAGAATTTTGAATGTTCGCTTATTTATTAGAGAAACTGTTGCACCAGAATCCATTTGGAAAGACACAATTTTATTACAAATTTCCAAGTCAATGTAATTCTTATTGCTTTCAGTTTTTACAATACCTGTTAAACTGTTAATTGTTTCAACAGTACCAATGTTGTGACTTTTACGACGGTAATCTTTCTTCTTGTTTTCATCACCTAAATTACGTTTGTTGTTCTTGTTTTGTTTTGACATGCACACTGGCGCAATATGTCCAATTTTGCTACATCTATTGCATACAGCATTTCTAAATTTACAGTTTTCTCTTGCATGAGAGTTTCCACAGCCAGAACATGATTTGAATTTTACTTTATTATTGTTATTGTTGAAAACACCCGGTTTTCTTATAATTGTACCAACTGAATTAACAGGCATTGAGTTTTCGATCGTTTGTTCTTTAATTGTTGCCACCGTTTTAGTGGTTGTTTCGTACAATTCTGCAATCTGCAAAACATCAGCAAGTGTCGGCTGGGGCTTTTGGAACGCAGCCGTGCGCACTGCATCGTGCGGTGTACGTATAATAATTTGGTCACGAATCATATCATCCACGAAATTGTGCAAACAATTCTGGGCTGAGCACGAAAAGTTACACTCTCTTGCCAATCCGCGGAGATCTGCTACCCACTCTCTGTATGATTGATGTGGCTTCATTTCCCTTTTGAAAAAATCGTAACGTGCAGCGACCACATGTCGTTTCGACTAGAAATGATCCGTTCGTTTTTCCGTTAAATTTTCGAAAGATTGTTCTTGTACTTTCGTGTTACCGAAAAGATTTTTTAGCAGCTCAAAATTTTCTGTGCCAATCCAAGACAAGAAAAATGATTTTTGTTTTTCACTGCACTGAACTGAATATGCTAAAAAATGTTGGTTAAGTTGTTCTAAGTACGATTCCCAGGTTTGCTGTTCTTTCGAAAATTTGTGAAATACTGGAACAATGTTGTGATTTCTTTCAGATACACCGGCAGTACCTTGTTTTTGGAACATTGAGTCCATCCACTCAAGTTGTTGTTTCAGTAAATTTTTTAAGAACTCTTGTTGTTCTTTAAGCAATTGCTTATAAATTTCACTTTCGCCCGGCATGATTGTATTTAAAATTGAACGGTACGAAAGCGAAAGCGATTGAATAATTGCAAATTTTTATCCTCGTCGCCAACTGAAGTAAATACAAAAGCAAGTATATAAAGTTGCAATCACAACAGACAGCTAATGACTTCGCTATTTGACTATATCTATATCTGATGAATGTCGAGAGTTTTAGATGCAAAAGCATTAGGCCTTTCTGTACCGTCAACGTACCTATGCGAGAGCACGACCCCTATGCCATAGGAGCAGACATCTGTAGCTAGAATCAACGGTAAGTGTTCCTGATAATGTGCTAATTGCGCTGCATTGAGAATATGCGTTTTAAGAGCTATAAATGCTTGTTGTTGTGCTGTACCCCATTTGAATTTTACATTTTTTCGGCGCAGCATGTTGATTGGCGCGGATAATTGCGAAAAATTAGGTATAAAATTATGGTAGTAGTTTACCTTACCCATGAATGCTTCTGCTTGCTTTAGATCTTTAGGCGACTGCAGGTTTTTTACTGCTTTTAGTCCTGACTCATCTGGCAATATACCTTTTGCACTAATTTGACGCCCGAGATATTCGATTTTATCTCGCAGAAAGAAACATTTTTCTTGCTTGCACCTGATACCATTTTGTTGCAAAATACGAAGTATTTGTTCTAGGCGGCTGATGTGTTGTTGAAATGTAGGTGCGGAGATCGAGATAATTTCCGCAACCTTCTACGCCTTGAAGTAACTGCTCAAGATATCTTTGGAATATAGCTGGTGCGCTTGCAATCCCAAACGGTAAACGTTGGTATTGGAATAACCCAAGCGGAGTGTTGACAACCATCATTGTTTTTGCTTCATCGTCGAGTTCCATTTGTAAATACGCGTCCTTAAGGTCGATTTTTGTAAAATGTTGACCGCAATGAATTTTATGGAAAAGATTTTCTCGTATGGGCAAAGGATATTGTTCAATGTCAATTTGCGCATTGACTGCTTGTCTAAAATCCCCATAAATTCTTATGGAACCATCACCTTTTGGCACTAGTACAATAGGGGAAGCCCATTGGGAAAACTTCACAGTTTCCAAATACCCGCATTTGTCAATCGATCGACTTCTTTCTTGAAAAGTGACATTTGCGAAAATGAAATTTGTCGGCTTTTGTAAAATTTCGGATGTACCTTAAAGTTTTTTATTGTGCCAAGAGCTGGTTCAGAAATATCACTATATTTTTTACACAGCTCGCTAATTCTGTGTGATTCACTTTCAGTAATATTACAAATTTGCTGAATCTCAAACGCGAATTCTTTGAATAAATCGCAACCGAATAAATTGTTACAGTTTTCGACATCCACGACAACGATTACCACTTCGTTTTCTTTTTCGCCACATTTGATATCTACGCAAAGTTCAGCGAGCACTGGAATTTTATTTTTGCCAAAACCGAATAAGGTTTTTGTACAATTTCACAACTTTGGGCAATTTAGTTTTTTGAATGTTCGCTTATTTATTAGAGAAACTGTTGCACCAGAATCCATTTGAAAAGACAAGTTTTATTACAAATTTCCAAGTCAATGTAATTCTTATTGCCTTCAGTTTTTACAATACCTGTCAAACTGTTAATTGTTTCAACAGTACCAATGTTGTGACTTTTACGACGGTAATCTTTCTTCTTGTTTTCATCACCTGAATTACGTTTGTTGTTCTTGTTTTGTTTTGACATGCACACTGGCGCAATATGTCCAATTTTGCTACATCTATTGCATACAGCATTTCTAAATTTACAGTTTTCTCTTGCATGAGAGTTTCCACAGCCAGAACATGATTTGAATTTTACTTTATTATTGTTATTGTTGAAAACACCCGGTTTTCTTATAATTGTACCAACTGAATTAACAGGCATTGAGTTTTCGATCGTTTGTTCTTTAATTGTTGCCACCGTTTTAGTGGTTGTTTCGTACAATTCTGCAATCTGCAAAACATCAGCAAGTGTCGGCTGGGGCTTTTGGAACGCAGCCGTGCGCCCAGCATCGTGCGGTGTACGTATAATAATTTGGTCACGAATCATATCATCCACGAAATTGTGCAAACAATTCTGGGCTGAGCACGAAAAGTTACACTCTCTTGCCAATCCGCGGAGATCTGCTACCCACTCTCTGTATGATTGATGTGGCTTCATTTCCCTTTTGAAAAAATCGTAACGTGCAGCGACCACATGTCGTTTCGACTAGAAATGATCCGTTCGTTTTTCCGTTAAATTTTCGAAAGATTGTTCTTGTACTTTCGTGTTACCGAAAAGATTTTTTAGCAGCTCAAAATTTTCTGTGCCAATCCAAGACAAGAAAAATGATTTTTGTTTTTCACTGCACTGAACTGAATATGCTAAAAAATGTTGGTTAAGTTGTTCTAAGTACGATTCCCAGGTTTGCTGTTCTTTCGAAAATTTGTGAAATACTGGAACAATGTTGTGATTTCTTTCAGATACACCGGCAGTACCTTGTTTTTGGAACATTGAGTCCATCCACTCAAGTTGTTGTTTCAGTAAATTTTTTAAGAACTCTTGTTGTTCTTTAAGCAATTGCTTATAAATTTCACTTTCGCCCGGCATGATTGTATTTAAAATTGAACGGTACGAAAGCGAAAGCGATTGAATAATTGCAAATTTTTATCCTCGTCGCCAACTGAAGTAAATACAAAAGCAAGTATATAAAGTTGCAATCACAACAGACAGCTAATGACTTCGCTATTTGTCACCCCCAATATCTGAAAATGTATCTGAAGAAACCTATATATGCGTGCAATAAAACCACATCACCAACTCTATGCATACCGCTGCAAAAGAGGTGATCGGCTGTCACCGTAGATAAAAACACAACTGGTACGACCTGCAGTCAGAGCGACGCGCGCTGCTAAAGAACGATATCGACAAAAGAGAAAGGAAGAGAAACATCAAGTGAAAGAAGAAACAAGCAGAAAGATCTGTGTACGAAGAGCTTGAAAAGACAAGAATATGGATTGAAAATTCTATTAATAAAATCAAAAGCCTAACAAATTATTATAAACCCAAGTTATTTCCTGCAAAGATGAAAGGCATGCTTAACATTTGGAGGGATCACTTCTCGAACTTACTAAATGGCGGTAGTAGTTATGTGACTGAAAGCGAAGATGATCCCGAATTTGCAATTGTTGATCATAATGAAGTTAAAACAGCTATAATGCGGCTCAAAAACAATAAAGCTGCAGGCGTCAATGGTTTACCGACTGAGTTGTTTAAAGCTAGTAGTGAAGAGCTATTGAAATGCATGCTACAGCTAATTAGCAACATATGGTCGGAATAATGCGTGTCCGGTGACGTTCACATCTTCGGTGAAAGGATCACACTAACTAGTGTTTTATTGCACACTGATATACTTCACGTTATTTTGTCGTCTTCTAATTTTTCATTTTCATTCTTTTTTTACTGCTGGCTTATAATCAGAAATTCAATTTTCCGCTCTATAATTATTTGAGTTAAGAGCACATCAGCTACTTTACCTCTGTGCATAAATGAACTCAGTTATTGTTTCGTTTTGCCTTCGAGCAACGCGCGACATATTGTAATGTATATCCGCTTCATAGTATTCGCAACCGAACTCGGTAACAAGCTCATTTGAGAACTCCTTCCAGGTGGCATGCATTCTTGGTGATGCGTCCACCCACATGCGCGCTACACCCTTCAAACGGCTATACACTGCAAGAAGCACACTTTTTTCGGGCCAAGCATATACAGACATAACAGCTTCAACACGTTCGACAAATTGCGTAGCCGTAATGAAATCTTCATTCGTTGGGTCGAATTCGGTCAAGACTTCTGCGATTTCTTGTATAAAATGCGCGTTACGGTCCTTACTAGGCATTTCTGAAGTACTGTTTTGATTGTTTCTAACGTTATTCTGGTTAATGACTACTTGTTGAACCATTTGCCGCAGTTCGCTAATTTGTTTTCTCATTTCTTCGTTTTCACCTCGCAATTCCTTCAACTGCTCCTTCGTAAGTGATTCAATTGTCACCATCGTTACGTATATATCTGCGTTCGTTTCTATTTTGCTGCGCCAAATATTCAAACTTATGTTTTAATTACTCCCCTTTGAGGGCATTTATACTATCCCACTTCTGAACTTTTAATTTGGTTTTTGATTTAATTACATAACTTTAATAGACTTTATTTAACTGAACAAAATATTTCATCACGACGCTATACAATTGCCGCCATTCAACGTTCTTTCGTTCCTCTCCTTCACTCGCTTTTTTTACATTCGTTGTCACAAATATCTTAGGTGACCACATGTTGTTCAAATTTTAAGGTGCCCAGTTGTGCGTTTCTGTTGTAGGTTAACATACATATATGAATTATATTATATGAATTGTGTTTTATTATATACATGTTCATTTTGCACAATCTCTTTTGCTAGTTTTTTTTGTACTGAACCCTGGTATACCCTGAGTATACCCCGGCCTTGTAAAAGGCCGGAAAGGTCGTTACAAACTATAGATCTTGAGTTGTTATTACCGCGTTGGATTGCTTTTGCAGTTGATATAACGTCATCAATGGTTCCTACTGTGAATCTTTTTGGCCTGAAACTATATTATTCACTGCTGAGTCCACCAGATGTTTCTACTGATTAGTTTAATCATATTACATATAGTCTTCTCCACGTACGGACGTGTTTTATAGTGCTCTTACAAAGTTTTACTAGTTAGCGGGTGTTTAGCGCGATAACTACATACAAAGTTCAAGATAAACGAAGTTATTGAGTGCTGAATCGCGGTATTTATGCGGAAACTATTGAAATAGTGAATAAATGTTCAAATTAATTGTTCGTATTTATATTGTGATAGCATAAAGATTTTGGCGCTCTTCTAATAATTCGCCTTATTTTGGAACGTAAATTTAATTTAAATTAAAAAAATCTGACAGAGACAGATAGTTACACTAGTGTCTGGTTTTTCTATACACAAACACATAAAAGCTGATAGAGACAGCAAATAAAAGCTTTTAAACTTAAAATAATAAACTAAAATAAGTGTTGCAAAACGCTAAAACGAATTTTGGATAAAATTAATTATCCATAAATTTAATACGAGTTATTTTGTGAAAATTTTGAACACTTATATTAATATTTAATAATTATTTTATTAAAATAATAAAAAATTTATTTATATTAATATTTGAATATTTATTTGCATTTAAAATACAACTTAAACAAAATCAAATGTGATATATGGTACATTTTTATACTAATTAACATTTTAATTTAACCGATTCTTTTTTTAAAAATAATTTAATCTTTATAAAATTATTACTACTCAAAAATCACTTGTTCTGCTGCATGGGCGATACGCTAATTTATGCGAACGCTCCAGTGCATAGCAAAATAAGATCAACGAAAACCAAACATTAACTAACACAATTTCAAATAATGAGTGTTCAACGAAGTCCCTTAGCAACACGAAGCCAAAAACAGCTACAGGCCGAAAACAATTCAAACTCAATTGAAAAAAACTACGACACTTGTTTACACCAAAAAATAGGTAGTATATCTCACTCTTGGAGTGAACAATGCCGTACCCCACTGATAAGCTCACCTCATACGCTCACGCTGGGATTTTCCCCAACAAATCTAATAGCACATTCCTGCTCAACATCAACATGTACTACAAATAGCGTCACAGTATGCACTGCAAACTCGATAACTAACACCTTGAGTTCTACATCAACTGATATCCGTTTCGTCTACTCATGCCTTATCTTTACTTCCAACAACTTCGGTAAGTTCAATCGCTAATATATCAAACAATATACTGAACGAAATGCCTACTACATCAAATTGCGCTATGCTCTCTACACCTGTGCACAAAGAGCAGAACAGCCAAAAAACTTTCAAAGTACATACTCAATCGAAGGAAAACTCAAAAGAAAACTCATTAAGCAACTCTTCAATACAAAAAATTAAACTTCCAAAAGAAAGTCAGAAAAGAACTCGTTCAAGTCCTGAAATTCGTCGTTCAAAA